AGAGAGAGAGAGAGAGAGAGAGAGAGAGAGAGAGAGAGAGAGAGAGAGAGAGAGAGAGAGAGAGAGAGAGAGAGAGAGAGTTGCTGAATACCCCCATAAGTTTAGATATATGTCAAACTGTCCCTAAAAGATATGGGCACAGTGGGCTGACATGTTTGTGTTATGCCCCTGTCAGGCGGGTGTGCAAATTCGCTCGGCCTTTTGCAATTGCACCTACAAAAACTCGGCAACTGCCAGGGGGGGGGCAGCGTCCAGTAGGGGTATGTTGCAAAAATGGGATCCAACTGATGGCTGGGGTGTTTCGCAAAATGTTTTTGTCGTTGTCCTTCGCCGCATCGTAGCTGCGGCAGGTCCACTTGTAACTACTCAAGGAAGGATATGGCCCCGTAAGGCGCTTCCCCCAGGGCCGAGGAAAAATAAGACCCGGACGTCGGTTGGATGGGACAAACGTAGTGCCCTGTTTCGCACGTTTTTTTTTTTTTGGGCGGACGGGCCTGCGCATTCGTACATTTTTTGTTGGGGGGCGCTTGGTACAGTTGGTTTTGGCGCGGCTTTATGAACGGGGGGTCCCTTTTCGCTTTATGAATGGGGCCCGCCGCGGTCACCGAGTCAAATCCGTGCTTGCACGGAGGAGGACCTTGGGCCCAGATGTACGCATCTATGACTACTACTATTGCGTCATCAAAACCAAAAGAAAAGAGACGAGACACAGAGGGGATTGCCTGAACAATTAACTAATTTTAATTCCGTAATTCACCACCGCGTCAGTCCTGACGAGTTCTACGCAACTCGTAATGCTCATACAGTTCAGATAATCACATTATAAGCTCCGGAACCGATGGCTACAATAATGTTAGGGGCTATACCCCCTTTTTTACCTCAAAGGGGGGGGAAGAGTAGTCGCCACACAAATGAAGTGAGGGCCTAGCTTGGTCGGTACACCCATGAAGTGTTGAAATACAGAGCTGAGTTCGAATCCACATGGATACAAAGCGCGAAAAAAAAACAGTCACCAGACTTGATAAACTTGTAACCGACAACTTAAGTTTAGGCAAAATACAAGGTCTGCGTAAATAAATTTTCCAACTCAAGCTTGCCTGAGCTGTTAAAAAAA